CGCAGCTCCGCCATCGCCGCCGCCGCCGCCGCCCCGCCGCGCTGCCGTCACTCGTCCCGCCCACGCCGCCGCCCTATTGGCGGGAGCGGCGGCGGTGGGGCGCCGCGCGCGCTGCCATTGGCCAGAGAGGGGCGCCGCGCCCGTCAGTCAAGCGGTCGGCCAATCAGAGCGCGAGCGGCGCGCCGCGCGGCGTGACGGCGAGCGGTGAGTCATCCCGCCAGCCATTGGCGGAGGGGCGGGGCCTGGCGCGGCGCGCGCGGCGATTGGCTGAGGCGTCGCCACGCCCCCTCCCCGAGCGCCTTGTGGGGGGGACACCCGGGGGCCGCGGGTTCGAGACCCGCGTCGGGGACAAACGAGGACAGGGAGGGACACCCCTCTGGGGACACCCCCGGGGGTGGCGGGGGCCGGAGAAGGAGCGGTCAGGCCGGCAGCAGTATACAAGTCATCTTTATTTACAATACCCTATAAAAATGTAAATTTAGAAACTTTTATTCTCATTAACCAGAACGGAAAAAAAGTGGGAAGGCGGGTGGGGAGGGGGAAGAGAAAAAACAAACAAACAAACAAACAAAAAAAAAAAAAGCAAAAGAGGAAATAGAAGAAGACAAAGGAAAAAAAAAGGAAGAAAAAAAGCAAAACAAAACGAGGGAAGAAAGAAATAAAAAAACAAACCGAAAAGCACAAAAAAAAAAAAAAAAGCAGGAAAAAAACAGGAAACAGCAGAAGAAAAAGCAGAAAAAGAGCAGGAAAAAAAAAAAAAGGCAAAAAATAAAATAATAATAATAATAATAAATGAACTTTCCACTTGATCTGTCAGAGGAAAATGAGGGGGAAAGGGCTGGGAGCAGCAGAGGGGGTGGGGCTGGTTAATGCCGGGAGGAATTCCTGGTGTAAAATCCCTACATGTGCAAATCTCTTGGTTTGTTTTTTTTTTTTTTTTCTTTTCTCATTTAATATTGCTTTTTTTCGGTAAAATTATCCCCCAACCACCACCACCACCTTCCCGAGGAGCAGCTGGATCCACCCGGATTGGGAAGGGGACAAAGGCCTGGCTGAGCCACCCCTGGAGCTGCTGGGGCTGATCCCGGGGCTGAGGGAAGGAGCTGAATTTTGGGAAGACGCAGCAAGTGTGCAAAACAGGTGTGTGACGTGTGATCACCTTGGGAAAGGCCGGGAGTGGGACTGGGAAGGGCTGGAGAAGGAGCAGGGAAGGAAGGGGGAACCCCTGGCATCCCAAGGATATGGGAGCGAGGGGCTCCCCCTTTCTGGGATCCTCAGTAGTGTGAGAGTTCGGGGGAGAAGCAGCAGCTTGGGGGTGCAGAGGGACTCAGTGGGAATTTAGGAGCAGCAGGGAAAGGCAGCGCTTTGTGGGAAAAGAGGGGAGCAGCCAAACATCCCCCTTTTCCCAGGAATTTGGGGGGGGGGCAGCATGTGCCCCTCGTGCCAGGCCGGGCGTTGGGGGGTGTGGGGTGAACCGTGTGCCCTCCATCCATCTATCCATTTATCCATCCTTCCTTCCAGCCTTCCTCTGGAACATCCCGGTGGTGGCGAGGAGCCACGGAGATCTACCGGATCCCGTGCACTAAGCTGGAATGGGGGAACAACAGTGTGGGATCACAGATCCCCACGCTGCTCCCTCAGGGCTTTTCCCACCCCCAACCTCTGGCTCTCCCTCTTCTGGCCGCATTCCCACAGGGAAAAGGGGGGGCTGGACACTCACTGCAATTTGGTCTCCAGCAAGTTCAGCTTCTGCTGGTCGACGTAGCGAGAGAAGAGGGAGATCAGGTTGGAGGGGATGGACACGGGCTTGGCCAAGGCTCCCTGAGGGATCCGCAGGAGCTCCCGGGTGGCCATCAGCATCAGCTCCGTCCTGCCGGGAAAAAACCGCGGGAGAAGGGAGGATGAGAGCTGTGGGACGTGCTGGGGGGAGCCAGGAACCCCCCAGCTCCCCTCAGGGAAGGATCCTGGCAGCTTAGAGGCCACCTTGTCCTCCCCAAGGGATTGGGAACGCGGGGACAGTGGAGAACAGGGACTCACCACTGGTTGTCCTGGATCAGCTCCGTGTTCGTGTCCGAGCTCTGCAATTCCTCCCCCCGGCTCAGGACCAAGTACAGCAGGGACAGACCGAACTGTGGGGACACAGACAGGGGTCAGGGAGCCCCCTCTGAGTATCCCCTCCGATTCCCAACGCTGGGAATGCCGGGACAAGCAGGAGGATCCCTGGCTAGGAGGAGGAGGAGGAGGATGAAGAGGCTGTTTGGGGCCCGAATCCATGAGGCAAGACCATGAACCACTCCCGGCCCAGGAGCGACATCTCCCACACTGTTGGAGCAGCATTCCCACCCCAAATTCCAGGCCAGGACTCTGTAGCCCAGAAGGACAGGCCCGGAAGCCGCCCGGGGCCACCTCAGACCGTTAATTAATCTGCCAGACACTCTCGTTAATTAGCAAGGAGAGAACACCAGGAACTGCACCCGGCTCTGGGAGGCTGCTGGGGAATTCCCAAGGGCAGGAAGCGATCCCGGGGGATGAGGAGTACCTTGTTTTGGAGCACAGCAGTGAGGTGCAGGTTGGTGGGAGCGGCGGCGCTCTGAGGTAGGTTCGTGAGCTGCTGCACAAGGCTGGTGACTGTTCCCAAGGGAAGGTGGTAGAGGACGTGGGAAAAGGGCCTCAACAGGCAGGGAAGCACCTGTGGAGAAAGGAGGAGAGTTGGGAGCTCCACGTGCTTCCAGTTGGAACTGCTGTGGGCAATTCCCCTCACAGCTTTGTCCTCAGGCAACACTTTTTCCTTCTTAAATCATCCTGCTCCTCGGATTTCCAGGCTGTCCAAGGCCAGGCTGGACAGGGTTTGGAGCAACCTGGGCTAGTGGAAGGTGTCTCTGCCCACTGAGTGATCCTTAAGTCCCATCCCAAACCATTCCAGGATTCCGTGTGCTGGCTTAGGTGGATATTGGGAAGAAATTCTTCCCTGTGAGGGTGGTGAGGCCCTGGAACGGATTTCCCAGAGAAGCTGCCCCATCCCTGGAAGTGTCCAAGGCCAGGTTGGAGCAATCTGGTCTAGTGGAAGGTGTCGTGTTGGAACTGGATGAGCCTTAAGGTCCCTTCCAACCCAAACCATTCCATGATCCCGTGATTTATTTCCCAGATTCCCAGGCTCCCCCCACCCCTCTGGCACTCTCACAGGAGGGGCAGGAGCCACCAACGATGTCATCGTATCCCACCTTCCAGCTCCAAACCGCCCCCTCACAGAGCATCTCCCAGCCTCTGGAATCTCACCTCATCCTGAGCATCCTTCTTGATGAGGAAGGGCAGGTTCCTGGCCGTGGCCATGAGCACGTCGGCCGCTTGCTCCGGGGCCAGGAACGGGAGAATCCGGGCCACGAGGCGCTTTCCTTTCCGGATGCACATGATCTGCATGAAGTGGTCGTCACTCGGCCTGAGGAAGGGAAGGAGAAAGGTGCCAAACCCTCCCCTGGGAGCATCCCAGGGTTATCCCACGGCTGGACCAGGTGGGAAACCCCTCTCTGCCTCAAAAAAACATCCCTGAGGAGGGAAAAACAACGCAGGAACGACGTTCCTAACCCTCATCTGAGGGGATGGAAGTTGAGGCTTTGCAACCACAGAGATGGGAAAACGGTGAAAGAAAAGGAGAAATACCCCAAAAAAAAAGGTTATTTCGGCCACTGGAATAGTCAAAGAGGTCCATAAAAGCTGGTTTGAGTAGCTGTGAGTGGTCAGGGAGCGTGGGAGCTCCCGAAATCCCCACTCACCTGTCCTGGCCAGGCGCTTTCCCCCTCAGATTGTCGTACATGTCGCAGATCTTCTGCTTCCTCTCTCCCATCAGGGCCGGCCTTTCCCCTTCCAGGCTCAGGAGGTACCGGCGTTCGTAGTCCTCCACGTCCAGGAGGAGGCTGTACGTCTGCAGGGAGCAGGGATCACCCATGGAATCATGGAATGGTTATCTGGCTCCAGCTGGGACACCTTCCACTAGACTGGGTTGCTCCAAGCTGGCCTTGGGCGCTTCCAGGGATGGGGAAGCCACAATTTCCCTGGGAAATCCATTCCAGGGCCTCACTGCCATCACAGGGAAGAATTTCTTCCCAATGACCCATTTAACCCCCCCCCACAGGGAAGAATTTCTTCCCAATGTCCCACTTAACCCACACTCAGTCAATTTAAAGCCATTCCCTGTTGTCCATCACTCTCCCTTGTCCTGTGAACAGGGAACCTATGGGATCTCTGCTCCACAGAGATCCAAGCAGGACCTCAGCCGCTGCCTTTTCCCAGCTGGATGCCTGGAGCTGATCCATCACGGAGACCATCCCACCCTTCATCCCACCCCTGGCCCTGACGATCCCCCCGCCCCAAAATCACCTTCTCGATCGTGACGAGGGTCTGTCGGCGCTTATCCCGCACCTGCTTTTCCTTCGTCTCCTGCCAGGGAGGGAAGAGGGAGTCAGGGATGTGGGAAGCATCCCCAGGGACGTGCCAGAGGGGAGAGGAAAGCCCAGAGCTCACGTCATCCTCGCTGCGGGACGTCACCACGGCGTCGATCATCTTCCGGGGGTTGTTGACGCTGGACACGGTGAGTTTTCCCAGCGAGCCCTCGAACTGCACTGCAGGAAGGAGGGAGCAGGGAAGCCCTGGGATCAGCCACCTCGACATCCCTGGATAACGGGAGCCCCCCGTGGCTGCCGGAGGGCTTTACCTGGTTTGTAGGTGTGCTCCAGCTTGGCCACCTGAGGGGTGATGAGTTTGGTGCGTTCCTTCTTGGGGCCATCCCCGTGCACTTCCTCGGCCGCTGCCAACTTTTCCAGCTTCTGGAAGTAATTCTGAGGCAGGGAGAGGAGAGGTTGAGAATCCCCTCCCAAAAACCAGGCCAGGAGCGACCCACCTCCCTCCTCCCAGCCTGTGCTACGCGTTTCCCGGTGTTCCCAACACCGCGATTTAAAGCACAGCCGGGCGCGTTTCCCTCTCTCATCCCTTGGGATGACGGAGGCCGAGGCTCCTCCTCAGCCCTTCCTCAGTACAAGGACAGATCCGCTCTCCCCGTGAGTTTCCCGGCTCCCAGTCCTTCCCAGCACACCCCAGTTTGCCTGCCTTGCTCCGTTGGCACCGTGCCGGGGCCTCCCCACCGCATCCAACCCGTCCAACGTCCGACCCTTTTGCAACAGCGGAGCTTTGCTGACTCACATCCTGCCCCAGTTCCTCTCCTCTACGGGGAACCAGCTCACCCACAGATCCCAAAAAAACCTCTGCCAGCTCTGGAGGGGACGGTGGGGGTATAGCTCTCCCACCCCACTCAGCCTCCCACTCCAGGTGCCCATCCTAGGTGGATTTCTCTCTCCCCCTGTGGACCCTCAAACTGCCCCTCATCCACCACTTTGCTCCACCTGCTCCAAATCTGCCTCTTCCCAGCCCTGTCTGGCATTCCCTATTCCTGAACTAGGAGAAAGCAGGAGCAGTCTAACCCTATCCACCTTCACCTCCCCGCAGGATTCATCACCAGCACTCCCAGTCAGACCAGAGTCATCCAATCCCTCCCTACAGATCTCTGCTGAATTTCCATTTAGCACCTTCCCTGTCTGCCATTCCAGGGGTTTTGTCCTGTTTCTTCTTCCTCTGACAAAGAAGAGCTGCTTTCCTGTTATCCCAAACCTTCGAATCCACGCTGCCAGTGTCCATCAGCATCTCCAAATCCTTGGAAATCTCACCCAAGAAGAGGAGGCAGATGGTGATCCCACACTGTTCCTCCACCTTCCTGACACCCCCTACCCAGGTCCAACACGCTGCAAGATCCCAATTTTCCTAAGGCTGCGAACAAGCCAGATTCTTCCCGCTCCCAGGTACCTGGTAGTAATAGTCATCCAGGTAGGGATCAGTGCTCTGCAGCTGCATCATCTGGATCTTGGACACCCAGTCCTTTTCCCGCTGCAGCATGAGGTTGGCATAGGGATCCTTACGGATCTGCTCCTGATGGCTGCTCCGGTGGCCCCCTCGGTCCCCTCCGGAGCCGTTGAGGCTCCGGTGCTGGCTGGCAGGAGAAGAAGGGCACCCGTGAGCACACCGGAGCTAAGGAAGGGACAGAGAGGGGGGGACAGGTGACCCCGGAAGCAGGACACGTCCCCGCGCCCGGCATTCCCGATCCAAGCCCCCGGCACTCACTTCCGGCTCTGCTGCTGCCGCTGGTGCAGGAGCCGCCGGTGCTGCGGGTGCAGGTGGGTCGTGTCGGGCCGGAACATCTGCGGCCTGGGAAGAGCAGGGAGAGTCAGGGATGGGCACCGGGAGCCGGGAAGCGGCCGGGAAAGGGACGGCACCGACCTCAGGTGGGATCCGGGGCCCGGAGGGTGCGGGAGCTGCGAGGGGGGCGGAGCGGGGGGAGCCCCGAAAAAGGCACGGAACCCTCCGGCCGGAGGCATCATCTGCCCGACTCTGCCCTGGAGAAGCTTGGGATTCACGGAGGGAAGGGGGCTCCCGACCAGGCCGGACACCCGGGCAAACTGGCTGGGGGACATTCGGCCGGCCTGGCAGGGAGAGAGAGAGCCTGGAGTCAGCCAGGGGGGAATTCGGAGGGAAGAGAGACACGGAGAGCCAAATCCTGGAGATTCTGCCCGTGGAGGGGCTGCAGAAACGCAGGAAGGGGCTTTACCTGGGCTCCTCCGAGCAGCTGGGCCCTCTGCAGGTGGGTGAGGACGGGAGAGACGCTGTGGGGGAACGGGTGGCCCAGGAGGGAGGAGTTCTGGGGAAAGACGTGGGAAGAGGGATCCCGGTCACAGACAGGACAAGGAAGGTGTGCCAGGCAGGCTGGGCTCCAGGGAGCAGGGATGAGCCACGGGAATGGGGCATTGGGGATTTTGGGGGGGAAGGGGGGGGGGGCTGGAAGTCAATCCCCAAAAAAAGAGGGATGAGGAGGGGCTGGATACCGGAACGTTGCAGAGCTGGTTGGGGGACATCCTCTCTCCGTAGGGAGCGGGATAGCGCTGCTGCATGGTAGCTCGGATGTGGACAGGCTTGGGACACAGAATCTGGGAAGAGGGAAGCGGCACGGTCACTCCCTGGGAAAGCATCCTGCACCCCCTGGAGCCACGGGAGGCGGGGAGGTACCTGCTGGTTGAAGTTGGGGATGGCGGCCTGTTTCGGGGGGGTGCCGATGGGGACGGCCCGCACCGGGGGGCTCCCGATGATGGGGGACGAGGAGCGCCGGGGCAGCGCCCGCTCCGAGGGGTCCCGCTCCTCCTCCCGAGCCTGCGGAGGCCGCTGGGGCAGAGCGTAATCCAGCACGGACACCGACGGCATCTCCTGCCAGGGGAACACCCCCCGGGATCACACGCTGGCACGGGGGGCACGGACACTGTGTCCCATCACCTCCCTCCTCCTGCCAGCTCTCCCTGTCCCGCCACGCTTCCCTGGGATCTCCCAGGGATCCCACGAGCCCCGCCTGGGATGACAGGGTGTTTGGTGGGAATTCCGTGTCACTTCCCAGGCTGAGACAGCGCTGGGAGAGGGTTGGTCAGGCAGCACTTCAAAGCCTGACTGCTAATTAAACCACAACACAAAAATCCTTTGCCTCGAGGCACCAACATTCCCAAATCCTGCTACGAGCCCTGACATCCCTCAGATGTCACCAGGGATCCCAGAGCAGCCACAGCCCCCCATCCCATTCCATCCTGTCCCACCCCATCTCTCCAAGGAGGTGACGACTACGAGGGTCCTCAGCGAGCCACACCGCATCCACCCGGATGCAGCGCGAGGAAAGCTGGACACTCCACTATCCCCAGCAGAGCTGGAAGCGCTTCCCAAGCTCACCTTATCCCACCCACCTCGCTGCCACAGGGTTTTGGGTGGGGGGACACGCTGGGTGAAGCCCCCCTCCCCCGTACCTGAGTGAGGAGCGGCCCCCGGATGCGCCGCAGCACGGCCGAGCTGTCCCAGATGCTGGAATTCAGCGCTCCGGGCTGCTGGGGAGCGCACGGAGAGTCAGGACGGGGCGCTGGGATCCAGCCCCGCGCCCCACCACCACCCCAGGACCCCCCCCCCAATCCCACCTGGGCGGGCCCCCTGGTGTGCACGGCCTGCATGATGGCCGGGTCCTCCAGGTCGCCCTCGATGACGAGGCGCGTGAGGCGCTCGGCCAGCGCGTCCTCGGGGTCGCCCAGCACGTCCCCGTCATTCCCGGCCGGACCGTCCGCGTCCCGGCTCGGAACACCCTTGTCCTCCAGCTCCGCCAGCCGCTCGTGGGCCTCCTGCCAGTCGTCATCTGAGGGGACACACCACAGGGATTGTGGGGGGGGGGGGCCCCCGGGGGGGGGGGGGGCGGGGCCCCAAGGGGGGGGGGGGGGGTCCCCGGGGGGTCTCACCGACAGCCCCGGCCCCAAAGGTGTCGTCGTTGAACTGATCGATGTCCTCATCCTCCTCCCCCAGGGCCTGGAAGGCGTCCTCGTCCTCGTCCAGCGGGCAGTCCTCCAGGGACTGGCACGGCCAGGAAACACCAACGGGCTCAGCAGCGGCTTCTCATCCCAAGGGATGGCCACGCCGAGGGGAAACCCCCCTGCCCGGCCTCTTACACGACCCCAGTGACCCCCCAGCCCATTAGAGCCCCCCCAGTCCCATTGCACATCCCCGGGGAGCCCTCCAGCCCGTTACACATCCCCAGTAACCCCCACAGCCCGTTACAGTCCCATTACACATCCCTGATGAGCCCCCCAGCCCATTACACCTCCCCACAGACCCCCCTCAGCCAGTTACAGTCCCCCAGCCCCATTACACTCTCCCTAGAGACCCCCCAGCCCGTTACAGTCCCATTACACCTCCCTGGTGAGGCCCCCAGCTCACTACACCGCCCCAGTGACCCCCCAGCCCATTACAGCCCCCACAGCCCTCTATAACTCCCCAATGACCCCCGCAGCCCATTCTATCTCCCCAGCGACCCACCCCGGCCCGTTATACGTCCGCGGTGTCCCCCCCGCAACCCGTTATATCACCCCGGCGACCCCTCCCAGCCCCTCATACCCCACCGCCGAGCCCACTGTGCCCCCCCCAGTGCCCCCCCATATCCCACCGCCCCAGTGACCCCTCCCAGCCCGTCGTGCCAACACGGTGACCCCCCCAGCCCGTTAGATCGCTCCGGTGACCCCTCTCAGCCCGTTATACACCCCCAGCGCCCCCCTCCACCCCCTCACACCTCCCTCACGACCTCCGGATCCCCTCAACCCCCCTCCCCATTACACACCGCCGCTGCCCCCCCGGCCCGTTACATTCCGGCGGTGTCCCCCCCCCT